GTGAGAGAGAGAGAGAGAGAGGACCTGCCCCTTTATGCCATCATCTCTCCCATACCATGCTAGAGAGAGAGGACCTGCCATGCATTCGCCGGCTTTTAGACATTTATAAGAGATGTTTATGTCAAGACAAGTTAGTTTATCTCTCGTTATTTCTTTCATCTTTTCTGTCGAGCTCTTTTCGCTCTCCATAATCCCCCAAATTCAATGTAAAGTTTGAAATTTTCCCCTTTACAAGTCCTGGTGCATGTAAATATTTGGTACCTTTCATTTAAAAAAAATTAAAAAATTAAAATTTTGAAAACTATCATGGCCCGTCTTTCTGTTACAAAAACCAGCCTTTAACAACTCGAAAACTCGAATACCCAGCAATGTTATTAGAATTGGAGCACCTTGGACAGAAAAGAGCACTTCTGTTCAGATTTGGGAAGTCCTCCCTTATATTTTTAAAGCCAATTATTAAATGTACCTCGAACCTCCTGCAGAATTTGCTCCCTGTCCAGCAATGCTAACATTCTTAGTAAGTTACCCCCTATCCGGCAATACAAACATTTTTCTTAACTCAATGCAAACATTCTTAAGTGGAAAGCTTAACTCGGAATAGAGAGAGAGAAGAGAGAGGGCGTGCAGCTGTAAATTGAGAAAATTTCTCAATTTACATCAACATACCATTAAAGATTAGAGGTGAGAGAAATGGGTAAGAGTCTTGGAAGAGAAAACTAGCAACCAGCAAATCATATCAAGCAAAGTACTAGGGGGAGAGCATTAGAAGAAAGAGGAGGAGAACACAAGGCATGAGATCAAAATATGAATATGGTAGGGTTTATTCATTTTATTTGCTGGTTATAGGCAAGGGATTGTGTGGTTGAGGTGAGAATCAGTGGTTGGTAAGGAATGAATTGCAGAGAGAGAAACCCATTTGTTACTCAAAAACCAGAGTGAGAGAGAGAGAGAAAGAAGCTTAGAGAGAGACCCCTTTGTCGCATTGGGAGGCAAAGGGCAAGAACTAGAAGGTTGTGGTGAGAGAGAAACTGCACTGAGGTCTTGTGACGATTAGGGGAAGAGCTAGAAGAATTGAGTGTTGTTAGAAACTGCACTGAGGTCTTGTGAAGATTAGGGCTCTGGTTCTGCGAAGCCACCATAGTTCAATACCATGAGAGAAGAAGATCGGATCTCCATGCCGCCACAGAGGCTGCCTGAAGGTATTCAGCCGCCCCTACCACCACCAGATGGCTCAGGTCCTCTCCAGACCTAACCAAGAGAACCCAAACCCCAACTCTCTGAACCCAGTTCTCAATTTTGAAGCATCGTGGTCCAGGACCATGAACTATGATCGAACCCTTTGAACCCAATGCTTTTGCCCTATTTAGATGACATGCCGGCTCCACATTTGGAGCCATGGCTCAAACCTGTGGTTTTAGATGACAAGGTGGAGCCATGGCTCAAACCTGTGGTTTTAGATGACAAGGCTTCTGCTTCTCGATCTGAGGCGGCTCCACCCTTTTTGCTACGCCCTTTCCCCCCAAAAACCATCGCCTCCTCTCTCTTCTTCAATTCCCATTTCTGCTTTGAACATTGTTATCTTTGAACGGCATGGGTTTGTTTTCTAAGTTAGGAGTGATATGGTAATTGAAATGCCGAACAATAATGGTAACTTAGTAAAAACAAACCCATGTCCGGTGTTTGCATTGCCAGACAAGGGGATAGATTATGAAAAATAAAAAACCCGTGGGAAGGGGGGGAGGGGTAGTGCTCATAATGTCACCCAAATGACACCCCCATTTTATTTGAACTTTGAGTATAATCAAAGATACACTCACAACTACCCAATTTAAAATCTCACAGGGAAAAGATTTAAATAAGGGCATTACCTTATCATGTAGAATTGCGGATGCCCATAAAAATTCCATCGGAAAATGTAGTTTTAATGTTGAAAAACCCTTTGATTGATCATCTCGACAACGAGATGTATGACTATGAAAAACAAAAAGATTTTAAGTTTCAGAAATAGTGCATTTTACAACATATTATCTACACCATCCATTTTCAAGATTTTCATATGTTTATAGATCTACTTGATTTTAACCATTTTTAAAATTTTAAATTTTATAATTAGATATAAAAATAGATTTTGAGATAATTCTAAGAACATTTTACATCAAAATTATATACCATGATAAAATTTGAAGGTGCACCTTACCTCTACACCTACGGATGCATCCGTATACAAACTCCACCCATCTAACAGACACTAAAAGGTAAATCGTTGCACTAAAAGTAAATGGTCTCTTTATATATTTTTCCTGTGAGACCATTTATCTTTGTTACAAGGTCGCAATTATTCTTAGCCAATAGATGTCAAATTGGATGACTTGAGGTGTATCACAAAGTTCAAAAACTTTTCTTTAAACTTTGAATCTATTAAATTTTTTTTTATGTATTCATGTTATTTAAATAAGAAGTCTGGACTCAGAGCACCTAAATTAGCAATTAAAAAGAGGAATACAAGAATTCTAACTTCATTAGGGCTGTGAGCTTGAGTCAGTCCACTCAATGAAATATTTATGGTTTGTAACATAAAACATCGTCCACTTCGTTTCTTAGATGGACAAAAGTAGTTCATTGATCAATATTACCCTAGCATAATGAATATTTCCCTTTTATTAATTATTAATAAGTTCGTATGAGTGCTAGGCTCTAAACAATCAAATTAGGGTGCACTCCAAAATTTCATTAGAGGAAGTTGTTTTGATGCCCAAATATCTTCAAGTTGATCATCTGGACCTCAAGATGGATGGACATGAGAAAAAAATGGATTTCAAGATTTGGAAATAGTACATCTTGTAATACAGTTTTGGACCGTCAATTTTTAAGATTTTCATAGATCTCCATATTTCTCCATACTATTCGAACGTGCGCATTACTTTGATTATTTAGAGCCTCGGCCTTGTAGAAACCGCACCCATTACGTAATAAATAGCCATAATTGATGTTCCCCTTTAGCAATTATGTACTAGTTGCATCTTTTGCATCAACATTACCTACCCAAGCACATTTTTCCTTCTTTGAATGTAGGATATTGGAATTTTTTTTGGATCCATGAGTCTAAGTAGGAGACAATATACCTTGTTGTTATTGGTCTGTCTTTCATTCATATAACTGCCTATCACAATCATCCTTTAGCTTTGGCTTAGTGGTAGATACATCAGTTAGGGTGAGGGAGGCCAAGGGTTCAAACCCATGGAGTTTGTCTCAAAAAAAAGAAAAGAAAAAAAAAAGCAAACAAAACTACCCTACCCCTTTTGTTAATCATCCCATTGTAATTGAAAAAGCATTATTGATCGAGGAAATCTATTTATGCATCCTAATTGCTTTTTTTTTCCCCTCTCTGTCTTGCTACTTCCTTGACTTTGGAAAGTTTATTCTATATTTTTTAGTTTATTTTTGGTGGATGATACAATTTTGATCGATGAGACCCAAAGCGGCAAAGTTAGAACTTTGAAGGGATGCTTTAGAATTTAAAGGATTTAAATTTAGCCAAACTAAGACATAATATATGGAATACAAGTTTAGTAATAGTATGAGCAGAGACTAGAAAGTAGTTAAGATTGATGGCCAAAAAATACAAAAAAAAACGCACTTTTGATATCTTAACTCCATAATCTAAGAAAATGGAGAGATTGAGGAAGATGTCACACATAGAATTAGAGCTAAGTGGGCGATATGAAGATGTAAAACTGGAGTTTTATGTGATTGTTGCATATCAATGAAGTTGAAGGGGAAGTTCTAGAGGACACCTGTGAGACCAGTTATGTTTTATGGGGAAAAATGTTGGGTGGTTAAGAAATAGCATACCTATCGGATGAATATAGCTGAGATGAGGATGTTGAGATGGATGAGTGGTAAGACAAGAATGGATATAATTCAAATTAATGCATTAGAAAGAACTTAGTTGTTGCTCTAATAGGCGATAAGATGATAGAAAATAGACTTACTTAGGCTGGCCATGTGTAGTGCAGACCCAGTACAACACCTGTTGGGATGTGTGAGTTTGTTCAAGTAGAAGGCTAGAAGGAGACAAATGATAGGCCTAAAATAATATAATTAGAACTAGTGAGAAAATATATGTGGAGTTATGACCTCACTGATGGTATGGTTCTTGTTGGAGCAAAATGACATACCAGAATTCATATAGATGACCTTAAGGAGTTGGAAAAAGGCGATGATGATGATGATTATTATTATTTTACATTAGTACTAAGTTTCAGTCTCACATTGAGGAATAAAGAAGAGAACGTCAATTTTAAATATAAGAATACCTTTTTTTGTTGCTTATAGCAAAGAGAGAGAAGACATGTGTGAGCTGAAAGAAAGACCTATGTGATCTTTTACCGGGGAATACATTTTTTTTTTTTTTTCCACCCCTTTCTTTTGGCAAAATATCACTTACAGGTGGTGTTTATTATAATAAGATTAATTTCAAAATAGAATCAACATAACAATAAAACCAAGATCTTCACAACTTGATACCATTGAAACAACTATGCACTATGCTTGAGAATAAAGATAAGATTGCAAGAAATAAAAGGAAGAGTGTCAGAGATTACCTCAACCGGGCTTATTACGCTCCACGAGTCACCACCATCTGATGGTGCAGGATCAACGGTCTAGCTTCAATCTCGAATCGAGAAAGCAAATTTCGACCATGCCATTCCAATGGAACATGAACCCCTTTGATCACAAACTCAAACCCTAGGTGAATTCTCTTAGCAACGTAGTTTGAGAGAGATAGATTCTCTTTT